GCGGTTACACTTGATTTGACAGGACAACACTATATAAGGACTCCGACCCCCAAAGACAAAGGGGGGAGAGAATAAAAAAATGGAGGTAATCCTTGCTCTCTAGCTCTCTCATTTCTCTCCAAGCTCCCTACAATCAGAATGCTAACTTAGGCATCGGAGAGTCCCTGCCGAGAAAATACCCCCGGGTCCTCTGATTCAGTTCTCATAGGTCCTTCAGCTCTTGCCACCGGCAAAGGAGAGGAGATCACCTCATGCAAAGGGAGCTCGTCACCAAGTAGCTCCACCAGGGAATTCGCCACCAAGTAGCTCATCACCAAGCAGTTCGCCACCAGGGAGCTCCATCATCCTCTGAGTCACAGGCCACCTGGGAGCAAATCAATTGACGAGGTACTTAGCCAAAAAGTTGGTACATCACAAAAAAAATTGATATGTGACCAAAACGGTTACATCAATTCCTATCACTCTTTCAGCGAGCAAAGCACAACATTTACAAATACTTGTTCATCGTCTTCCCCAACGAAACGACAATCTAGTAGCGGCGCGAGTCCAGTTTTCTTGCATATATTCAACGATTTTTTGCCATTTCTGGGTTTACTTTCGTCTACCATCGATTTCGTTTGTTTTCCAAGGACTCCCCCGTTATTGTTCTTTGTCACATGTTAAGAAAAACCACCTATAATGAAAATCGCTTGAGAGAATCCATCTTTCTTCCAGAATTCAAGCAGAGTCCACGCCAATGAGGTTGTCTTCTCCTATGAATCGCCCCCGTCCACATTCCTGATTGTCATTGTGGCTCACAACAAACAACCTAAGGTGAAAAATCAACTGAAACTCGTCCTTGCTACATCGATCAAGTCCAGGCCAAATCCCAACTCAATCAAATATGACTTTCACTGCGTTTTACTTTGATTTTTTTTTGAATTTGCTGTTTTTTTTTTCTGAATTTTGAGTATTTTCATGCTTTTTTCTTAATTTGCTGCAAAATTATTGTAATTTTTGCATTTTTCTGCAAAATTTCTGCATTTTTGGTATTTTCATGCATTTTTTGCTTTTTTATTTTTATTAGGGGCAAAATTTAAAATCATGGTTGATTCCGATTCCAACCTCTTGATAAACCAAACAACATCAATCGGAATCCGGTTCTGATTCCTGTTTGAACTAAACAGGTAGGGGGAATAAGCCATTCTGATTCCGATTCTGATTCTAATCACGAACCAAACGGACCCTTAGAATTAATCTTAGCCACTAGAGTGATGCAACAAGGTTTCAAATAATCAATGTCCATTCAAGTAAATCACCAAATTTTATAAGAAAAACAAAAATCTAAGCCAAATAAGGTGATGTTCCTATTATCACCCAAAATTTGGGCCATTAGTATTGCATCATAAAATCAGTCAACTAGAAGGATTTCATCTAATCTAGCCTTATTTAGGTGCTCCATATTTTATCTTGGAGCTGCTTCTAATCCATCAGTTGTTCTTGAAGCTTAGTTGATGGCCCAACAAGGTCAACCTTGGGCTTGGAGGAAACCTACATAGGGGCAACGGATGATGAATTCTCATCTTGCATACCCTAAAAGATGATCATAAGGTCCATCAATAAAGAGTGTCACTATGCTATATGTATCGTGTGGTGTTTTGATTACTGTGATTATTGTGATATTCCTCTCCGGCTGTGGGGAAGCTTGTACATAGGTGATATATTTATTTATGGCAAACCTAAGTTTAGGAAATTGACTAATTATACCCCAATTTTCATTATTGTCTTAAAGTATCCCTATTGTTTTTGACAATTGTCGCAGAATTTCCTTTCGGTTAACTCTCCATCACAAACCGTTTACATGTGACCTCACATGTTTGATTTAATATTAAATTATAGCCAAAATACACTTTAATGGTAAAAAATGCCCTTTTCACTTACCACAAAGAGAGATCTACTATTCATTCTCCCCTTCCTCTCAACCACCTCTCTAACTCCAAATCCCCTATTTGTCCATCTCCCTTTCCGGTCATACACTGTTTCTTTCTAGTCATACACTCTCTACATCCATCGTCTGGAGAGAAATGGATTACACTCCACTATGGCACAACTAGTAGCTTCA